ACCTTTTGGCTTTCGTTTAATAAAGATTTTAAAGATATCTGAAATTCTTCAATGATAGTACCAATAATAGAATGAAAAATATATGGAAAGAATTTCCTTTGCTTAACATATAGAAATATGGAAAGTGTGGTATGCATAGGTACACCTAAATATAATTATGTATTACTATAGATCTTCTGAAGTTCACTTAGTACATACCCCTATGTGTGATTTAATCTTTAGTACAAACTACAGAACAGGTGTTCTGTGAAGGCATCTGAGGTTTGTTAGAGAATCTTTTGAAACAAATACAAGACCAAGAAGCACACCAGATAGATCAGAGAAAAAAGGAATGTAGCTGTTTAAAGCAAAGTTGGATTAAAGATCAGGGAAGGAACAATTCAAACAATAAATTACCATGAATTTTATGTTGATGTGAAGTTTATTTTACTGAATTCACCTTAGAGAAATTGTAGAGGCCATCCTTTGGAGGAGTACTTTACTTCAGGACAATAAAGATAGATGCATGTCAAAGCTGAATAAAAATACATTCATAAGGTGCATTTGCAATATTTTGGGATAAAAATTTATATATTTCCTTCAGCTAAATATTCATAACTTACTTTGTGTTCATTTATTACATTGAAAATCATCTGCCATCATCTGGCAGAATGTAATATGGCTTACAAATATGTGCTTATGGATACTCCTTTTTTGCTAAGTGGTCTTGTGCATTTAGTAAGTCAAAGAGCATATATATATTTTTTTATGCTGTATACAGTAAAAAGTAACTAATTAAAAAAAAAAAGCTTTATCTGTTACTAATCTTTTTCTATTATTTTCTTAAAGCATATTCTATATTGTTTGGTGTAAATCTATAAATAATAAGTGCAATGTCATGTGTTTTCCAAAATACAAGCTTTTATTGGTATAACTTTTTTCTCTAATTGTACCATGTCATCAGGTCGCAATTTGGAAATATTTTATACAGTTATGTTAGATTGAAATTCATAAAAACAGCAGCTGGACATGTGTGTTTATGTAGAAACTGCCCTCCTTACCTTAGAACCATCAATCTTCTCCCGCCTATCTGTCAGGGTCATGGCAGCATCTCCAGCAGCCTATGGGGGAAAGGCAGGCTGCACCGTGTAAAGGTCAGCAGTCTAAGGCAGGGCAACGCAGAAACACACAACCACACACACACACTCACACCTAAGGACAACTTAGTCATCCTAATGATCCTGTTTCTGGAATGTGGAAGGAATCCACACATGCACAGGAACAACATGCAAACTCCATGCAGAAGACCCCTAGGACAGGAATAGAACCCAGGACCATCGTTTATCGTTCGTAAACAGTATGCATTGTTTATACTGAAATGGTGCAATGCATTTATATCTAATTTTGTATTTTCTCAAGAGTGAATTCTGTTTCCAATAAACCATGTTAAAAAAAAATAAAAAAGTTTAATTTCAGCGAAAAATATAGGAATCCACATAGACCTACATATATAACATCACACAACTTAGTCAGTTAGAACGTAGATCTAAATTTTTATTCTATTTGCCAATAAGATTATGTTTAAAATACACAGCTCAGTGCAAAATACCGAAAATAAAATGTAACATGTTCACATCTGTTTTGCTTCATGACTGCCACATGGACAGTTTTGTTGTAATGAGCTGAACCCACCACAAGATGGAGCTATGTTGTAACAAAACCAGTAAGAATTCGTTTGAATCCCATCACAAAAAGTAAATAAAAACAAAATATCAAACAGTTAATAATAAAAAATAACAATAAAAAGTGCATTGTGTACAGAATCTGACCAGAATCAACCTTAGAAATGTTCAAATTAGCATTCATTCATCACACAACTAGGATCTGTTGGGGGACCCATCCTGGATGGATTGTAAACAAAAACAAATTAAAACTGATCAGTTCTGAACAGAGGTGGGTAGAGTACCCAAAAACTGTACTTAAGTAAGAGTTTTGTTATTAATTTAATTTCGTTAAAAGGCTAACCAAGTAAGTAACTAATTTACTTGCTACCCATGATCAAAACAACTTGTTTTATATTTTATAACGCTATGTCAAATTGAATCAAACATCAAGTTATATAGATATTCTGCTACTTCAAAGAATAAGATAAAAACATATAACAATAAAATATTCAGTTGTGATGAACACTCTTAAAAATCATTTTTTTGAGTTCTAAAACTTAGAAATCTAAAAACTAAAAATCAATAGAATTAGAAAAGTATTTGGAAAAGTAAATGAAAATGTACTGCTTACTATATTTTCACTCCAAACTCCAAATGACACAGCAGACTAAGCAGATGGAAAATAATATTAAACCAATAAACCTTGAGTGCAAAAAAGAAGAGACTGTGTCTCTCAGTGGTGAATATTTAATCAAAACAATTTTGTTTTTATTAAGTGAAAATACTTCAAATGGAAGGAGCAGCCTGAACTTTTACTCAAAAAAGCGGTATGATGCTCTATCGTAGTTTTACTCAAGTAAATGTAAAGACATACAAAGCTGTACTTATACTACTTAAAGTACTTTTTTCCCCCCAAGTTACTTTAGTAGAGTGACTAAATGTAACTAGTTACTACCCACCTCTGTTTCTGATGTAAACATGTATTTAATTGAAAAGTTCACAAAGTAAAGATTGTGTTAAAAAACATATCATGTAATGTTCCAGAAATATTTAACATAATTGTGTATCAAACAGAAAGAGCAGAAAAGCAAAAATGATTGAATTCCGTTAATATAAATTTTAATTCAAAAATATAACTTTAATATACTGTGTTAGGGCAATACCCTTAAAAATATTAGCAAATAGGCTAATTTTCATTTATTTCAGGGAACACACACAAAAAAATGGAACCTTTAAATATAGTATAGCTGCAGAGTAACATAAAGACACACCTCTTCTGGAATGCATTTCCAGCATAACATCCACTTTTTGTTATTTTTTGTAAATATACTGATTTGCTTGTCTTTCTATGTTAATAGATTGCATTTGATTTATTTCTTTGGATGACCTTGTATTCCTTAAAAGGTGCCTTGAAATCAGAATTAATATTATTATCATTATTGAATTCTTTGTTCTATTTAATTTGGATGGCTCATAAGAACAACTGCTTATACATAGTCTACATGCTATCTAATGGCCATGTTATGGCATACTCAATCTTGAGAAAGCTGCTGATTGGCAGAAATCCAGTAGACCTAGACTGACAAGCAGGATAAATCCCCAAAAGATAATTTCTTATGAATCTGGATGTTTACAGAGACCTGTAGCCAAACCAAAGATAGTGATGAGAAGTTTAAGGAAATGAAATAATACATTTCAATGAGTGAATGACTGTCATTCTAACGTACCCCACCGGTTTTTAAACATAATCTATATTTTTTCCATTATAGATAAAATTAATAAACTCAACACACCACAAAATGGAGCTGTGTTGCAACAAAACAGCAAGAATTCTTTTCAATCCCAGCACAAAAAGTAAATAATAAAAAAAACAATAATTTGTAGTGTTGATTTCTGAGAATTGTCGTTTTTAGGTTTTTTCCATTGCCGTTGACTCACCACCCTTGTTAGTTGGATGATAACAAAACAGCAGGATATCACGTCCTGTAGCCTAAAACACAAAGCTCACTGTGTTTTCAATTCAATTCTTTTGAAGCAGGAAAGAACATATATATTTTTAGCATGTTCATATAAAATTGTAGATGTGTAGAAGAATACTGGTTTATCTCACTTTCCAGAGTGAGATAAACCAGAACATGCACATATAAAGGCCCATTTCCATGACCAAGTGGCTGGAATAGTGTACAGGATCATCTGTACAGAGTATGGGCTGGAAACCCCAAGGTCAAAGTGGGAAACACCTCCAAAGGTGGTAGAGAATGATCAAGCCAAGATCCTGTGGGACTTCCAGATACAGACGGACCGAATGGTAATGGCAAACCAACCAGACATTGTGGTGGTGGACAAAGAGCAAAGGAAAGCCATTGCGGTTGACATATCAATACAAAGTGACTGCAACATCAGGAAAAAGGAACATGAGAAACTACCAAAAGAAGAGCTGGATGAAACCTGGAAGGTCAAGGCATCATTTGTACCCGTGGTCATTGGGGCCCTTGGGGCAGTGACCCCCACACTGGAGCAGTGGTTACAGCAGATCTCTGGAAATACATCAGACATCTCGGTCCAGAAGGGTGCAGTTCTAGGAACAGCAAAGATACTGTGCAGAACCCTCAAGCTCCCAGGCCTCTGGTAAAACAAATAATGCAACCGTTTTTGGCATTTACTTAACCATATTTGGTTACTTAACAAAATTGTTTTGTGTTAGCATGGTAGAACATAAAACAATTGTGTTAAAGTAACTAAATATGATCAAATTAAGGCCAAAAACGGTTGCATAATCTTTTTCGGTGTGGAGGAAAAAGGGGGGGAAGACCACCCGCAATGGGTGAGGAAGATATATGTATATATATATATATATATATGTATATATATATATATATATATATATATATATATATATATATATATATATATATATATATATATATATATATATACATATATATATATATATATGTATATGTATATATATATATATGTATATATGTAGATATATGTATATATATATATATATTTATATTTATATATATATATATATAGACTGTATATATCTATATATATATATATATACATATATATGTATGTATGTATGTATGTATGTATGTATGTATGTATGTATGTATGTATGTATGTATGTATGTATGTATGTATGTATGTATATGTATGTATGTATATATGTATATATACATATATATGTATATATATGTGTGTGTGTATATAACATACCTCTATATTTCCTCCAAACAGTCTGATTATAAATACAATGAATAAAAATAAAAGCTACTCTCTGATGCTGAGGCAGCGTGTGGTTAACGGTGACGCCATAGGGCCGGTCCACGGAGCAGAGTTGCGCTTTCCAGCTGCTCAGATGGGAGTGGGCGAGCTGGGATAGGCTGGGAGTTTTGTTGGGAAGTCGTAAGCGGATCGGGACAAGGCACAACTGGGAAGAAAGGAAGAAAGAAAGGAGGAGATCCAGGATCCTTACAGACCTTCATGCACAAATCGACTGAATGTTGGACAGGAAATCTGACGCAGTAAATTTGCGGAAAACGGGCTTTGTCAGAGCCACGGGTGACGGAACAGAACTGCGTGGATGACAGAGAGAGAGGTGCTGAAAAGGCAAACTTTTCCAACCGGCTGAGATCGCTCGTAGGAAACTTGGAGTGGAATTTCTGCGCTTTTTTGTTGTTGTTGTTGCTTTAACGGTCAGTGGAAGAGGAGGACATTATGCCGCGGCGCACCGTCCAAGAAGTAACCGTGCAGGATGTCCAGAAGCGAAGGAGTCCCAACAAACACTATGTAAGCTTCTTTATGTTGGATGACGCTGAGATTGCTCTCCTTTTGCAGTCAGGAAAAGTAACAACAAAGAGTGTCAGGTTACAGTTTACCAAACCAGCACAAAGGACGAGTTCCACATCCCCAGAATGTGATTACTCTTTATTTGATTTAATAATATTGCTTTTTAATCTGATTTAATCCTGAAAATCAAAAGTTGGTATATGGGGAGTGGAAACTTAAAACACTAACCGCTGTTTGTTTATTGTTTTCCTCTACTGGACCTACCAAATAACTCCTGTTGGATGAGATTGAAAGTCTCTATTGTAGGTTTTGGGTATTTTCATATAATTGTCTGTTTGATTATCAACTACGTAGAACATTGACATAACCCCCCCCCCCCCCCCCCCCCCCTCTTTTAGGTCAATTTTTTTAACATATTTGCTTACAAAAAAAAATGAAATGGGATTAACAAAAAACTACATCCACTAACAGAAAACATGGTGGTGGAAGCATCATGCTGTGTGGGTTGTGTTTCCCTTCCATTTGGATGACAAAAGCCAGTCATTTGCGTTTTTTTTTTTTGCCTTTAAATTCTTTTTCCTCTTGTAGATTTTCCACCAGTCTCTTTTGACTACTAAATAGTAGTGTTGCACCGATACCAGTATCGGACGGGGCCCCGATACTGCCCTAAAATTGTGGTATCGGTATCGGCGAGTACCAACAAATAGGGCACCGATACCATTTTGAGAGCCATAAGTTTATTCAACTATTGTCACCCACTCCTGGTAGGCAATAAAAAGTTCTACTGGGTTCACTTTGTATTAGATTTTTTCCTGCTTCACAAATGTAGGCAGCAGCTTGACAAAGCCGTGGTGGCAATTATTTTACATTATTATGGTATCGGTATCGGCCGATACTGCACAGCCAGGTACCGGGTATCGGGGCCAAAAAATGGCATGGGTGCAACACTACTAAATAGTACTAATTTACCAACCATAAGTATTAAGCTTTGCATTGCCTTCAATACCAGATTATTTTATTTCAATATTTTATCTCTACCCATTGCCTATTAAAGGGAATGTGGGCATATGACTGCAGTAACTAATATCAGGTTTCATAAGATAAAAATAGGGAACAGAACCAATATTTTACATTTGTTATATATTTATATATTCCTTTACAACTGAGTACAAATGCAGGGGATAAGATTATTCTTTTTTTTTTTTTTATCAGTATTAAATTTAGTTGTTTGGCTAAAATAATATCCATGTTTAATATAGGCCCACTAAAATGTCCAAACCTAAATCTGGTTAATATTCTTTGACAAGGTATGATAGTCACTGCTCAGAAGCTTTTTCCATCCATCTGACAAGACAAAAACTGATAATTTATCGATTTGCAAAGCTGAAATAAGATTGAATGGTTTTAATAAACCTCTACAACTATTCAATTTTCAAATGCATATTGTTCATCGGTAATGCTTTCTTTTACAGTACGTCAGTAACCATGTAATAAGTTGGTAATAACATAGGAAGTTACACTATATTACTAGGTAACAAAAAATACTTTATAGAGAATTTTGGTAAGAGCTGTGCTTCAAATTTAAGGCAGGCAAGATAAACCCAGGTAACTCAGTCAATTCATCTACAGCAATAAATCAATGTGTTGTTATTTAGTAAAAGGCAGTTTATTACTTGGCATATAACAGAACACCAAACCTAGAATACAGCAAGCCAAACTTCATAACTACACTCTTATTTATATGTAACTTGAGTTCAGTTTTATAATGCTATATTTACCTGATCATAGGTTACAATTTACTTTGTAATATGGTGGTAGGTGGTGGCCAATAATAGAAACCGTTATAAGCTAATGGTAATTACCCCCAAATATCTCCATTGCTACATAGTAACATACACTTGTAATAATTACATGCCAGTAATAACTTAATTTTTGGGTAATTACCACATTTTTCTTGTTACCAAGTAATATAGTGTGACTTGCTGTGTTATTACCATTTTATTATATCGTTATTGATGTTCTGTAAAAGGTGCTATGAACTCCTTTGTGTTTGTCTGTCTGTTCAAATCCCATTAGAATTCACTGACGTTTAAGATTACGGTGTCACAAAAATAGGAAAAGTTTGAAAAGATATTAAGACTTTTGCAATGAACTGTATGTCTGCTTTCACATGTACCAAACAGTCAAAGCCTCGAGAAAACACATTAGGCTGTAGCATCTCATGCTTTTTTATGCATCAGGTCCTTCAGTGAACTCTGCAAAACATGCCTTCAGGCATGACCGGCCTGGAAGTCACACCAGCTATCTTATGCCATCAACCTGACTGCACATGTGTCACATGTTGACAATAGTCCTCATTACAATCGGTTTGTGCAATAGAATTAGGAGAAGTGATCTTATAGCAATTTTAGATTTGTTGAGTCATTAGCTGATGATTTGTATGTTGCTATCATGGGTTAAGTGTTCAGTTCTGCAGCAATCAGAAGATATTAAAAATATGCAAGCAATTCTATTCTGTCTTTCAGTAAGACCTAGACCATTAGTTTGATGGACAAGAATGTCAAACAGACAAAGCTTCATTTCTAACTCTTTTGCATTTGCAAAACAAAGAATCCTCTGTTGTTTTTGCTGGAATTGCTAAAGTGGGCGCATTTGCCTTCATATGAACAGTCACTGTAGACCATATGACAGCATGTGAGCCAGAAGTCTAACAATGAGAGCCACATAACAGGTATTTGTGTTAGTTTAGCATCCCTGTATCCATGCTTCTGAGAATTTTCTGCTTAGCATCCATGGTGTTCTGTACATGTGATAAAAAATAAACTTGGGACAAATGGGCGGGGGACCGCTGTGAGTGTTGGTGGTGCGGACGCAGTGCTTCTGGCCCTGTGTCTTCTCCATCTGTCTTTTTACTCTCCAGTGCAAACCATGTGGTTTCCCTTTGCTTTACATTTTTTTCTTTAAATTTTTCAGAAATCTAGGTTTGCTTATGATCTCTTTTACATGCACTGGTTTATTTCATACTAAATCCATTTTCTCTCATTTTTACTCGCATTATAAAGACAGCACAAATCAAACACTAATAATGACTGATTATTTGCAAGCTTAGCCAGTGTCCACCCACTGGAATGAATAGCCATGGTCTACTGCAGCTCACTCAGCACATCTCAAACTTGGCTGCTTGGAACATCAGTTTAACCCATTAACATTTGTTCTCTTTATTGTTTGGAATAATAGCTCACTGCCTGTTCTTTATGAGTATACTGAGTAAACTCAGTATAAAACTCTTTCACATTTATATCAAAACAGTTCCCCTACATCTCTGTTTAGAAATCTATGACTATGCTGCCCTGCAAGAGAGAGTTAGGCCGGAGCAGGTCTGGGAGCAATGCCAGGAGCAGCGAGCCAGACACAGTTAGCCACCAGGGAGTTTCCAATCACCTCCCTCTTCTCTGCTCTCATTTTTTTTGTTGAGATAGTTGAGGGCATGCTCTACAGTATATGTCTGCTTCCTTTAAACCCTGGTGATTGGCTTGAATCTTGCATTTTTTGCTACAGTTTTCAAATGAAGGCAACAGTTGGTTGCATGTTTATCAATATATACACTAATTTTCTAATAATGTCTTTGCAATTTGTAGATATATTGGTCCATTACATAACTTATGATGTCAATTCCTGCCACAGTGTTTGTCTCTAAAGCCGTTCTAAATGCATTTATACATGGTTCAAGAGACAGGAAGTGATTAAAACACTCAAGGAAGTGAAATAATAAAACATGCTGGTAATAATAGTTATTGATGCTTTCAGCCAGAGTGCTGTCTGCCTTCCATGCACAGTCCTTTTAAAGTTAGAACATTTCAATATTGTAAAAAAAATGAAGATGTGATTTGAAACAAAAGGTTGTCTTCGTTTGGTTTATGAAATAGTTTGAGATAGACCAAAATGAATGAATGAAAACTGCAATATATTTTTTCTTTCATATGTAATAAAATAATCCTTGTTCCTCTTTTTTTGCAAGGTTTACATCATCAAAGTGTCCTGGAGTGATGGGAGTACAGAAACCATTTACAGGCGTTACAGCAAGTTCTTTGACCTCCAGGTGAGTAATTGTGTTAGTATGTCATTGTGTGGCTCTGGTTAAATTCCTGTACTTATCCACATTTGGTCTGTGGATGACCTAAACTGCCTGCAGGGCTCAATGGAAAATCCTAAATTAAATTAGTTTAAAGTCTTAATTTAACATGCAAACCCCAAAACACTACACTTCTCTTATTCTGAAGGAAAAAAACTTCTATTTCAAATGCAAGATGAGTGTTTATATAGAACCAGTCATACACAAGGCAAACAAAAGAGAAACATTAACATAACAAAATCGGATTTTGAAGAAAAAAACATAAAAAGATACAGATGGTAAAGTGTTAAGTCTCAGCAGGATTTTTCAATCATAAGTTTTCGTAAACAATATTGTTATCTGTTCCTATTAGAAAGAAGCAATAGTTTATGCACATTTCAAGGTTTCAGGGAGTTTTTTTCCAGAGCTGAGGAACACAGAAACTAAATGTCTACTAGCCTTGTTTAATTCTGATTTTAAAAGTACTGAATAAGCAGGTGTCTGAAGAGCTGAGAAACCTAAAAGATTTAAACCTTACCAGTAACTCAAAAACATATGTTGGCTCAGGTCCATTCTGTGCTTTATAGACCAATTACAAGGTTTTACAGTTTATCCTTTTATGCATAGAAAGTCAGTGCGATGAGTTTAAAACTGAAATGGTATGATCCACCTGGTGTTGGTTGGCAGCATTTTTGATGAGCTATAACTATTGCGTCATATTTATTTCTAAACGCCTGCTAGCAAAATAAACATGCTCACATGTATGTTAAACGTCTGTACATGGTTTATCTACCACCACACAACAAAATCAAAAAGTGACGCTTTCGAGAGCGCAGCCATCTTCGAACTTGGCCGCTGGATAGAAAATAGTGCTTGCGGTTAGATCCTGAGCACGATCCTAAGCACACGTGGGAGGAGCTGGCACTTACTTTTGGAAAGTAAGCTTGTATGAGCGATGCAAACAGCAACTTTTAAACAGAGCGTGCACGAGGAGAAATTGGCTCATGCATGTTCTCACATGCATTTAATAGGCGTTCGCTCTCAGGAGCTGCTACAGGGTTGTGCATGTGCATCCTTTTTTTTTTTTTATTCGTGAAAATCCTCCACTATACCTTTAATATTGGACTGTAGGTTTGCACTGCAGTTGCCATGAAGAAACTTACCAATAGGATGCTTGTTGGATTGAATGTCAATAAAGTAGATGCCCATCCATGACCCAGATGATAGTGATAGATGTCAAATTAAATCGTTTGAAGCTTTAATATCAAGAGCCAATGCCCTATTCTAATGCATTTTCTTCCCCTCTACACTATAGTTCTTACTAAAGACAATTGTAAAGTTGGTAAAATATTCCCATAAAGACTTTAGTTAACTTTATAACCCTTCTTCCAAGACGAGTTGAAGCTGCTGTGGCTGATTAATATGAGGCACTGTTGTATGAAAGGCTGTTTTATTAAGAATGAGATCTCATTAATGTTCATGTATGTATTATGGAAAGTATTTATAATGGAAAGTGACACTTGGCACTAAAGTATTTGAGAGACCTCTCCATCATAGAGGCAGTTTCACTCTTGCCCCACCCATATAACACCACTAATTAAACTGTGTGAGAGGACTGAGAAAATATCTTATTGAAGTTAAAAGAGAGACATTGATGAATGGAAAGACTGCACTGATGACCACAGAAATGTCTGAGTCATTTGAACATCACGGTTCTGCCAGTGTGTGCTTTGCACAGGGGGAAATTTTATTAGTATCAGTTCCCTTCTTCCGTTGAAGGTAATGGATCTTTAGAGGCCAGCTGCATCAAAGCTCTGAGAATGTCAGCTGTAAATCAGCCCATATTGAGATTGCTTTACTGACCAGCAGACAGACAACCCCAAATAGTTTCAATTTGCATTGGAGTCATGCTATGTTTCATTTAAGTCTCTGAAGCTGCTAGTATAATGTTAAACCAGCGACAGTATTTCATCACTAGTTGCATCCATTTAAATTTTTTTTTCTTTTTGTGCAGAGTGATGGATTGTTATAACTCAGGGTTCCTCAATTGTGGCGTAGGTACCACATCTGCTCAGGTGGTCAGCTTTGCTCGGGGCCCCGCCCCTGCTGATGTGGTCACAATATCTAAATCTAAGTTTTAACTTCTTATTATTTATATTTGCTATTATTTTATTTCTTGTTTCTTGTTTCTTTGGTGACCTAAAGTAGTGGAAAGTAGAAAACAATCATTTTCATTCTAGAAGGAAAGTACTGCGTTCAAAGTAAGACTGAGTACTGCCATTTAAAAAGGTGATAAAAAAAAAGTCTAATTTCTTCTTTGTAATGTTTTTATTAAGACGAGGGCAAGGGAGGATGAATGGAACATATTTCAATTTGACTTTCATGGAGATTTTAAAGAAAGGAAACAACAGTTAAACTACTTGTAGAAAATGAACGGTCGTTGATACAAAGTTAAAAGTAGTGTAGCTTAGTATGGGTAACTGGCCAAGCTTAAAAAGGCTAACCTTTTAGCTACTGAGCACAGCTAGGCACAGGGCTACCCAGCTCTGCTCGTTTATACCATGGTCTTACAGTTACTTGGGTCACCAAGAACAGATATTTTCAGTTTTGTTATCCATCAGGTAAAACTAAATCATCAGACAAAATAACACTACAGATGCTCTTGACTCGACACACAGATTATGTTAAAACTAGTGTTGCGCCGATGCCGTGTTTTGGCCCTGATTCCAATGCCCGATACCATACCGATACCATCAGTTTGAAATTGATGAGTTTGTATACCAGTACATATATGAAGAACTGCATACTACTTGGATGTAAAATAATTGCCATCAAGACTTTGTCAAGCTGCTGCCTACCTTTTTGAAGCAGGAAAAAGACTTATACAAAGTGAATCCAGTAGGACTTTTTATTGCCTACCTGGAATGGGTGACAATACTTTAGTTGAATAAACCTTTTTGTTGGTACTCGCAGATGCAACACTAGTTAAAACTAATAAAAACAAAAAGTTTAAGACGATAACATTGTGTCCTACAATCTGCTTTTTGATTCACTCTCTGTAAAAAAATAAAAGCAATATTTTTCATCACGATCACTGAGTCCTGGACCGGCCATTTTTGCCCAAATATAGTAACACCTCACTCCTGTCATCTTCCAGCAGTGACGTCATGGTGTGGTAAGCCTAGCTACTAGACATATCTGCAATCAACAACAATTATTTACGACTTTGAGAGGACTTCACCATTGAAATTCATGATGGCTATAGTTAAACTGAAAATGCCCACGTGCATGGCAGTTGGATGTTTTAATACATTCGGTAAAAGCAAAAAAGAAAATTTGTTATTTCACCTTTCCCATTCATGATCCACCACTGGTTCATCGTTGGATTACCAACTTTAAGATTAAGGATTTGCCATCAAACTTCTGGCCAGAGAAAAAGCACATCATTAATCCTTTACTCTCTGCTTCGCATAGTGCACTGGTTGTCGCACATCATGGATAATAGTACGTTGTGACAAACACCAGATACAGCACTGGGACTTGATCAACAGCCGATACCACACTGTGACATTATAAACCAGTAGGTGGCAGTAGTATTCTTTAACAAATATGGATGTCTCCGGTAAAGCACATTAAAATTAAATTACTTTTCATTAAAAACACTTATCATTTATTGAACATTAATAATTTCATATTTAAAGTACTTTCAAAAATTTGTATTCTGAATGTGACTGGACTTTTCCTTTATAGAATAATTTTTGACAATGCAGTGAGGGATTTCTTTTTTTTTTTTTTATTATATTACCTCTCTTGATATGTCACAATTACTGTCATTGAATCTGATGGTATTGGCAGAAGTATTTTTGGTTGGGGTTTTCCTGCCTGACCTCACCCCTACCATGCTATTCTTATGCTTCCTGCTTTGTTGACTGTAGTTAGGCAAAGCAATATTTTCAACCAGCTGTGGTGTTTTGATACAAACACTGAAAGTCGCTCACATTTGACATCAGGCCAGGTGTCTGGCCAACACAGTGATGCTAGACTGAAATATGTAACTGTTCTCGCTAACTGCCTCTTCGTCATTTCCTGTCATCCATCTTTTCTGTTGGCGATTTAAAGCAGGTTTGAGCCACAAAATATTTTTCTCACCAAAAACTTATTTATTTTTTAAACCTTCAAGAAATCTAATAAGCAGTGACCGAAATAGAAGATTTTAATAGGCTACTGAGGGCAAGGCAGGAATCAGTGTGTACTGAGGGGTGGCCAAAAGTGGTTGGCAACAAAACCAGTTTAGGGGGAATCTACACTAATCAAACTGGAATGGCAGAAACCTTAACATGCAAAAAAAAAAAATAATAATCTGATCGTTTTATAAAAAATAATAAAAAAGAAAGAAATCACTGAAGACAGGGCAGGTATGTTAAATAACCCCTTGCTAATAAATTTTAACACATACTTGTAAACCTAGGCTGTCTAAGATAATAATGTAGGGTTGTTTATCTGTTGTTTATTTGTTATTATATTGAAGACTCATGACTGCAGATGTCTCCTTAAAACACAAAAACATGTTCAGAAAAGAGTATGGCTTCTGTATTAATCTTTATTGTTAATACATTGATTTGAATAGATAATTACTGCATTTTTGTTGTCAGTTTAGGGTCAATATTCTAGCAGTTAAAATGTCAAATTGCTGTAGTTAGGACATTCCACTGCTGCCACACTTTGGTTTAGAGGGGAACTGCATGTTTGAATATGTTTAATTATGTCCATAAACTAGCTGGTAGTGGTGGCCATTAAGTGGAAAAGATGGCCGTGGCCATCTTCTGTCCCCAACCTGCAGATAAGCACTAATGAGTTCTGGTGTCTGGATCTGAACATACGTATTTATGAACTACTAAGCACGCGTTTGTACTTAACAAGGTTATTATGTTTTTTTATTTATTTTTTTGTATTTATTACTTTTTTAACCTTGACTAGAGTTGCCATTGCCATTGAGTTGAACTGGATGTTGGTCGCTTCTGAGAATCCACAAAGTCTATCTTGAATATAATGCTTAGATTGTTTGCTACGTTGGACCTATTTAACATCGATGCGCTTGATGTCACATCCGCAGAACAGCTGGCGAAACAACCGACCCAAAGTAATTATAGAAAATGGGCTACAGGCTTATAGATGAATTGCAGCTAAACTACTAAGTCTAGTAACTCTCATTCTGTTTTAGACTATGTTTTAGTTGTTAAAGGTAAAATAAAAAGGCTATTTTAAAGATTTTCTTTCAGTAAAAATTTACATAATGTATCTTTAAAATTGGATGGTATTAGACTTTGGAAGAACATGCATTTATAAAAGCAGTACTTGTTTTTTGCTAATACAAAGCCAGATAAGTTACACATTTTCTCCGTAAGTATTTAGTGAATGATATATGTGGTTTTTGTATTTATAAACTGTTTAAAGTTATAAAACTGGCAGGTTAATTTGCCTATCACCTCTGTCACCTTTTCCACCGTGATACCCGATCAAAGGCAAAGCAACAAATTACTAAGCTTGTAATACTGTACTTTTTTTTTTTTTTGAAGTAAATTTTTTTTTTTCCAAAGCAACTTATTATGATTATTTCACACATGTGGGAATCACTCCCTCACAAAGCAGGTCTCATGTCAGTTCTGCAATAGGACAAACACTGCATCCATGATGCTTTAAACAGCTAAAGACCTTCCCTTGGAGCATGAACAGTCTATGTTGGATGCATGACATAGATTACATTTTGCAGGAATGTTACTTTCTGTCTCCAGATGTCTTTTTTTCCCCTTTGAGTGGCTCTGATTACAGAGTAGATACAAGTTTTAAAGTAGACACCGAGACTGGGATATGTTTGCACTCCCACCCAAACACATGGGAACAATTACACTGTGTGGGGCATTGGATCCTCTTTGTCTCTGTCAGGCTGTGGCTGCCTCTGTGTTTATCATGGCATTCCTAAGGTGATGTTGTGTCCCTGACTAATATCCGACTCTTTAGCAGATGCACTTTGAGTTTAATCATTTTTGCCCACCATACTGTTTTAGAATTTTCTCTCTTTTACCACTTGATTTTTTTCCAGAGTCCTCCATTTATGATTTATCCTACAGATTTCTATTTCTTGGTTTTATTTTGTATGGCACTAGTGGCCTTAATATATTTGTCAGTAGAAAAGAAATGTGGGGAAGACATGGACCAAAGGTTTCCAAGTCTACATTTAAACCCAGGACGGCTGTGTTGGAGGCTCCATGTATAAATATTTAGATTAAATATAGATTTTGAAGTTCATTCTGAACAGTGCCATCCTATCAGTTAGTATTTCAGGTAAAAAGGCATCCAAAATATTCAAACCTAATTATATGAGTTTAGGTTGGCAGTTACAATTCCATTTATTTTTAATCTTTTTAAATATTGATTTGACTGTAGATATGGACACATTTAGACAAGTAGATTTTGTCTTACTTTTAAATACTGAGACACATAAGCCATCATTAAATGGGAAGGTCTCTTGTGTTTTCCATTTTGAAGAAAGACTTGCTGAACTAACCTTTTGAGTCATCTTAAGTATTAAAATCTAAGAACTCATAATTATATGTATTTTGGTGTCACCTTTAACAACTTCTATAAGCAAATGTTATTACCTTGTATAACAACACTAGCAATGCCATTTTACAATATTTTTAAGAATTTATTTATTCATCTTTACAATGATATATCAATTTGTGTGTGGGGTTCCATACCAAAATGGATTAAATCCATAGTCTGTAATTAACTCAGTGGGTTCAACCATATCTTCAACTTAATTTTGAAACCCTTTTTGCTTCAAATTTATTAAAAATAAACAAAGGACCAAATTATTTTTTCTTTATTTGTTGAAACTGCTGATATGGTGGGCATTTATTTTTAAATTTGGAGTTTCCTAAGTTTGTAGCCTTATTCGTGATATGTCTTAAAGGTATATTTAGTTTATAATTCAGAAGAATTTTGGAGAGGGAAAAATAATTCTGCTATTTCTCTGTTATCCATCCTCATTTACTCACTGGTTTTGATGAAATCTCCAAAGTGTTAGCCTTATTTTGATACCGAAATTATTATTATAGAGCCTGTAGCTGCTAAGAAAAGAAAAAAAATATTTTATTTCAAGTACAGACTTCAAGAGAACCCCTTGGTGCTTAAAAGGTTAATCTTAAAGAATGCCAACTGTGGAAAACAGTTTTACTTTCCTGTAGTATTCCATAGGGCTCATTGGATGAAACCTGCATCCATGTGATCCTTTGCAATTTAAAAATAGTATATAGCAGATGAACAAAATGTACATAGCTACAGTTGAATTTTTATGGCAGAAATAAAAAAAAAGCCATCGAGGTTCTATTTCTGACTAGACTCCTAAAAATTCCTGCATTCTAAAAATGAATCCCATACCAGTCAAGATTTTGAGGGTACCAGTGATGGAAAGAATGGAAGCAATCTTCTAATAACTGGTTAAAGCATATTGTAAGGAACTTTGCTTCAGGCCCTTAAATATCTCTTGAGCTCTCCATTATTTAGTAGCCAGGGTCCTGTTGTGATTGCGTCAGTGTGTCTTAAACACCATGAGAAACATAAAGTGTTCTCCACACATATGCTGTTTTTGTTTTTTTAAGACCGATGCTGATTACTATAAATCACTAACCGATCCCCAACATGTGAGATAAAATCTTTTTTTAAAGCTGATCTTGCTTTTTCTTTCTCTGTTAACATGCTAAAAACATACTCAGGTCTTAATTTTAACAAAATAAAGAAATATTTACTAACAAATCAAAGAAAAACAATTAACAATGTTTATTAAATTAGGAGAGCCACATAGCATGCACGTTAAAGCATGGCTACTGAATAATCTACTTACAGTACACATGAATGATGCCGAACGAGGTCTGATTTATTGGTCTATTGCTAACAAGAAACTCAAATTTAAAATATTACTTTTTCGTTTCAGTATTAATGGTATCGTTGTTATTAATACATGCAAGGTGTCTTTTTAATATTTAAACATTTAATAAATGTCTCAACCACTCAGTATGTTGGTTGTTGCTTTAGAATGACTATTTAATGAACACAGTGTTTTCCTTACAGTTATTAGTCAAGTTAAATCCCCCCGTCGACACTCAAAAAAACAAAAAACAAAACAAAAACTATAGGTATCTGTAAGGCTGGATTAAATCTTTTTAATTTTATTACATATGATGGCAATATTCTTTATTCTTACAGGGTGTTATATACTATATTTAATTTGTTGTCTTTGACTTATGTGTCAAAATTTGAATAGGTTAACTTTGTGGTCCAACATTCTTTTTTTCATATTCTTATTTTAATTATTCTTTTTTTTTTCATTGTCTTATACATTTATATGTATTACTTAATTAATTTCCTTTGCATCACTGCAATGTACCTATTTGTTTTCATGTACAACAATGCATTGTCTTGCTACAAATAAACTTGCTTTGCCTAGTTTTTAGGAAAGCTTTTTTTTTTTTTAACAAAGTTTCATAAAGAATTATTAATATTAGTGTTACTATTAAAACATAGCATTTGTGTACCTTAGTAGTTATTTATTTAGCTGAAAAAACTACACAATTAATTTCAGTGAGACAATAATTAAGGGTAGGATTACTTTTTTTTTTTTTTATTATTAATAATTGCTGTAACAGAGGTCAAGAATAAAAAGACGAGATTTAGAGCCACGAAGAACCACATTTCATTGGGATTTTTTTTCTTTTCTTTCTGAGATACGATGGAAACAGAAATATTCCACTATGTCAGTGGCTCCTGGCTGCTAACAGCGCCCATGACTACAGCAACATATGAAGCCCAGTGGTAAAAAAGAAATACCATCAGGCCAGAACATTCCTGCCCCCATTGGCCGGATTTACTGTAGCAACTGCTGATTTATAAAAATTGACTTCCTCACCACCTGCAGCTATCCTGTTTCATCAGCCTGTAATTTGTGAATGTAAATACTATCTGTGCTAATAACTTTTGAAACATTTTGGAATTTTCAGATGGAATTGCTGGATAAATTCCCTGTGGAAGGAGGCCAAAAGGACCCAAAACGCAGAATCATTCCATTTTTACCAGGTGAGAGTTAGAAATCTTTATAACCTTTGGATATGTGCCACTTCATACAAAACTTAAAATCCTTAAATTTGTCTTCCATTCAAGATGGTTTCTTTATTTTTATTATCCCCACTCTATCAGAAATGCAGACATAAACTACAAAACACAGACTTATTGATAACCTTTAAACAAACAGGTATATATTTTGTCAAAATTAAAGGAAAAACAAAAAAAAGCACAAAAGTACCATCCACCAGAACCCCCCAAGGACAATTAACCCTTTAAAGCCCGATCCAAGAATAAAACAAAACAGAAAATTACTTTTTTTTGGTTTGAAGTCCTTATTTGGCCTTTTAACAAAATATGTAAAAAGAAAATACAGAAATAGATTTTTGATATTAATAATTTATTACTTTGCGATAAGTCAAGATTATTTTTTGTGTAGTCTTCTGCCCTCTGTTATCAGGTATATCTGATTGTGTACAATAGGATTTTGAGCAAAGTTTTTACCATTAAATTATGCAAAAGGTGTCAGACGCAAAACATTTCAGAAACCGTATGTATCAAATATGATACATTTGGCATTACAGGGTTAACACCCCCCCTGTGACCTCCTTGGCCAATCCAGTGGGAGGGATCAGAGCCACCTTTTGTCCCCCCTAAAGGCTGATTAAGGCCCCGTCCACACGAAGTCAAAATGAACACGAAACGCTAATATTTTTCAGAACGTTTGTCGTCGATATTGCTCTGTTCTTCCTGGAGATATTCCAGAAGAAGAAGATTCTGTTGTAAGCCCGACAGCAGGGTGAGTAGCATGAGCAGCACACAGTACGGCGCCATTGTTGTTGTGATACTGTGTCGCACATGCGTGTTTAGAGGCGACGCTATGACGCATGCGTGTAAAAAAAAAAAAAATGCGGTTAGAACTTAAAGATGGAAACGCGAAAAACGGCGTTTCAAAATCTTCCCACTCTGAAGGCCTGATAAAAAAAAGATCGTTTACAGACCCCTGAAACGCCGGCTTCGTATGGATGAGAGGCTGGTTTGGTGAAAAATGTGTGCGTTTAGGCCAGGGTTCGGCTTCGTGTGGACGGGGCCTTATGCTTCGAAACTTGGTCGTCTGCGTAGGTGTCGCAGTGAACACAGAGACCCCGCCCCCTCCGCAGACACTCTGCTGCTCCTCTCCCAAAATTGTAGGTGACCGCAGACAGTGCCGCAGACAGGAGGCCTCTGATGGGTCAAATCTACATCTGCTCTACTCATACGTATTTCCTGTTTAGTGTCTCACCGCCTTGTTTTGTTTGTATGACTGCCATTGCGGAAAAGACCGAGGTCACGAGAAAGCTGGGACCCTTTTTCCACCTGGATCCTCCGCTCTTTTTCGCCCTCATGCCCCTACGTTTTCGGACAAACTTTTCCCCACTTCCTCACCGCCTCGGCTGTATCTAGACCCACAGCTAGTCTGTAATTGTCCCTCTTGTGTTATGGCGTGTAATAACATAACGTAGACCACGCTTCAAAATTGAGAATAAATCAATAATGTCTACTTCATACCTGCGACAAGCTCACTGCGACACACTGCTGCAGAGTATAACTAGCCCTTAACTCTTTGTTAGACCTACAGTTTATTCACCTAAGCGCTCCACACCACTAGTTAAAACTGAAGAAGCCTTTTGGATGATAGGCCAAACGTCTTCTAGAAAACTTGGTGTCCAGTTGCCTAGACTAGAACTAAACTGAGCTTTGTCCAGTTTGACAATAACCTGGATGACTGAGAATCTTCACAGATAAAATTATCTGTATAAACAGAAGTCATGGGCTGTACCTCGAAAAGTATCTTTAAAAAATTCCGTAAAAGTTCCAAAAATATCCACTGGACTTGGTTTCCAAGATTTGAAGACATTTCGCCACCTCTCCAGGAAGCTTTCTCAATTCAAATGTGACATTTGTGACATTTGAATTGAGACATTTGTCACATTTGAATTGAGAAAGCATCCTGGAGAGGTGGCGAAATATCTTCAAATCTTGGAAACCAAGTCCAGTGGATATTTTTGGAACTTTTACGGAATGACTATGACCTGGATGACTGAGAATCTTCATCAGCATATCTTTAAAAAAAATAAATAAGATGTATCAAAGTAAACTATATACAGGTGCTGGTCATAAAATTAGAATATCATGAAAAAGTAGATTGATTTCAGTAATTCCATTTAAAAAGTGAAACTTGTATATTATATTCATACATTACATACAAACTCATATATTTCAGATGTTTATTTTGTTTAATTTTGATGATTACAAATGACAACAAATGAAAATCTCAAATTCATCATATCAGAAAATTAGAATATTGTGAAAAGGTTCAAAATTGATGGCCCCTGGTGCCACACTCTAATCAGCTAATTAACTCAAACCACCTGCAAAAGCCTTTAAATGGTCTTTCAGTCTAGTTCTATAGGCTACACAATCATGGGGAAGACTGCTGACTTGACAGTTGTCCAAAAGACGACCATCGACACCTTGCACAAGGAGGGCAAGACACAAAAGGTCATCGCTAAAGAGGCTGGCTGTTCACAGAGCTCAGTGTCCAAGCACATTAATAGAGAGGCGAAGGGAAGGAAAAGATGTGGTCGAAAAAAGTGTACAAGCAAGAGAGATAACCGCACCCTGGAGAGGATTGTGAAACAAAACCCATTCAAAAATGTGGGGGAGATTCACAAAGAGTGGACTGCAGCTGGAGTGAGTGCTTCAAGAACCACCACACACAGACGTATGAAAGACATGGGTTTCTGCTGTCGCATTCCTTGTGTCAAGCCACTCTTGAACCACAGACAGCGTCAGAAGCGTCTTGCCTGGGCTAAAGAGAAACAGGACTGGACTGCTTCTCTGATGAAAGTAAATTTTGCATTTCCTTTGGAAATCAAGGTCCCAGAGTCTGGAGGAAAAGAAGAGAGGCACTTCATCCACGTTGCTTGAAGTCCAGTGTAAAGTTTCCACAGTCAGTGATGGTTTGGGGTGCCATGTCATCTGCTGGTGTTGGTCCATTGTGTTTTCTGAGGTCCAGGGTCAACGCAGCCACATACCAGGAAGTTTTAGAGCACTTCATGCTTCCTGCAGCTGACCAACTTTTTGGAGATGCAGATTTCATTTTCCAACAGGACTTGGCACCTGCACACAGTGCCAAAGCTACCAGTACCTGGTTGAAGGACCATGGTATCCCTGTTCTTAATTGGCCAGCAAACTCTCCTGACCTTAACCCCATAGAAAATCTATGGGGTATTGTGAAGAAGAAGATGCAATACACCAGACCCAACAATTCAGAAGAGCTAAAAGCCACTATTAGAGCAACCTGGGCTATCATAACACCTGAGCAGTGCCACAGACTGATCGACTCCATGCCACGCCGCATTGCTGCAGTAATACAGGCCAAAGGAGGCCCAACTAAATACTGAGTGCTGTACATGTTCATACTTTTCATGTTCATACTTTTCAGTTGGCCAACATTTCTATAAATCCTTTGTTTTTATTGGTCTTCAGTAATATTCTAATTTTCTGATATGATGAATTTGAGATTTTCATTTGTTGTCATTTGTAATCATCAAAATTAAACAAAATAAACATCTGAAATATATGAGTTTGTATGTAATGTATGAATATAATATACAAGTTTCACTTTTTAAATGGAATTACTGAAATCAATCTACTTTTTCATGATATTCTAATTTTATGACCAGCACCTGTATGTAGCTGGAGGAAAGAACAATGAGTACATTGTGACTTTTCTCCAGCTGTGTATGTAAACAAACTGTATATGTACTTGTCTTAGCCTTACGCTAAGTAAAAGGAATGGTTACTCTCATTTCTTTAAAAAAATAGAAGTTATAACAGTGCTTTCTGTGTACTTGACCAACTTTAAATCCTTCTAAAAGGATTCCTTCAAGGAAGGGAGAAAAAAAAAGACCTAATCCACAGACTCCACCCACATGTCCCCCACCACGCAGGCATGTGATGGCTGGAAGGAAAGTATTTTTTTAAGTCTACGCAGGTCTGGAACTCATTGAGAGAGGTCATAGTAAAATCACACCCCAGATAAAATGTTTGAGCTTTGAAAGAAGGAATTGGGATAAAAAAAAAAAAAGCTTAAGTTTTTCTTTATTTAAACCTTAAATTAAGAGATTTTCTCTGGAACTTATGCCTACTTTCTGATAATTCTCCTTTTAATCTCTTCAATTTCCCAGAGAAACTACTTTTTGTAAATCTGATATATGCTCCTTTCTTTCTGTTCTTTATGATGTTTACTCTTCTTGTAAGCTTTTAATGTAATATTAGAGAATAATGTACATTAAGTTCACCAATAAAGCAGGATGAAAACATTGGAAAACTAAGCTTATGGTAAGTGACTCAAAAGGGGAGGTTTTGAAGAATGTGAAGGCTCAGATCATAGATCAGATTACACCTTTTGTTCCAGAGGGTTCAAAAGTAAAATTTGTCAGAGTTCCTCACGTTTCCTAACAGCCACTAAAGTCATTTTCTACAACGAGAGTATGGAATGAGGTCAGCATTACCCTGCTCTGATGTCTGGTTGGTTAAAGGCATTGATACATTTATACTCTTTTAGTATCTCAAGACACGAGGGGGAAGGTTTTGCTGTCTATGTACAGAGTGGACTGTTAAGAATAATTAGCTTTTTGGTTTGTTTTTTCAGCTTTTTCAACCTATGGCTTGAATGCATAATTTTTTTAATCGTTGAACGAGCAAATGAATGAAAACAAAGAAGTGATTACAAATTGAATATAATGTTAGATGGTTCCCAATCAATTTATTTTGGATTTACATCTGCTCCCACTTTGCTTTACAATATAACCTAAAAAAATAGAAAAATTAATAGCTTTATTGGTGTACAAAAGGGTTAAAAAAGGTTACTCCAAGTAACTTACAAAGGTTGTAACTGGGGAGCCTTTTTTGATACCTAATCTTGAATACACAGAGCCAGTGTTACACTGGGTGTTGATGGAGATATT